GGTGACCTTGGGCTAGTCACGCTTCTCTGAAGTCTCTCAGCCTCACTCACCTCACAGAGTGTTTGTTGTGGGGGAGGAAGGGAAAGGAGATTGTTGGCCGCTTTGAGACTCCTTAAGGGGAGTGAAAGGGACGCGGGTGGTGCTGTGGGTTAAACCACAGAGCCTAGGACTTGCCGATCAGAAGGCCGGTGGTTCGAATCCCCGTGACGTGGTGAGCTCCCGTTGCTTGGTCCCTGCTCCTGCCAACCAAGCAATTCGAAAGCATGTCAAAGTGCAAGTAGGTAAATAGGTACCACTCTGGTTTGAAGGTAAACGGCATTTCCGTGCGCTGCTCTGGTTTGCCAGAAGCAGCTTAGTCATGCTGGCCACATGACCTGGAAGCTGTACGCCGGCTCTCTCGGCCAATAAAGCGAGATGAGCACCGCAACCCCAGAGTCGGTCATGACTGGACCTAATGGTCAGGGGTCCCTTTACCTTTACCTTTAAGGGGAGTGAAAGGCGGGATATCAAGTCCAAACTCCTCCTACTCTTCTTCTTCTTCCTCTTCCTCTCTGTCCTGCCTTTCAGCATCTGAACTCACACTGAGAACCTCGGCAACCCACCCCACCTGTCCTTGAAAGACTTTTGTCTTCAGATACCCCATAATCACACATGCTTCCTGCTTCTAGCACCTCCCAGCTTGTTCCCTCCTTCCTCCACTATCCCACCACTGTTCTCCTGGGTCTAAGTCTTATTCGTCTGAGTCATCCTTGGGTGGGCAGCACCCACCACTCTTTCCCCACCAGCCAGTTCCTGAGACTTATGGGGTCTACAGTGGTACCTCGGGTTAAGAACTTAATTCGTTCCCGAGGTCCGTTCTTAACCTGAAACTGTTCTTAACCTGAAGCACCACTTTAGCTAATGGGGCGTCCCGCTGCTGCTGCGCTGCTGCTGCGCGATTTCTGTTCTCATCCTGTGGTACTATTTCAGGTCTGTAACCTGAAGCATCTGTAACCTGAAGCATCTGTAACCTGAGGTACCTCTGTACATGCCAATTCTGGGCAGGGCCAGTGGCGGAAGTGGATGAAGCAATGAACTTGAAATTTGTCCCTCACCACCCTCCATCCAAGCAACCCGGCAGGCAATTTTTGGAATTCCAGGACATATTTCAACCAAAGCAAAACACTCAAGAAAGGTGCAAAGCAGGGCTGGTGAAAGGTGTGGCTCGGATGTGACTTGGGGAGAGTCCTGAAGCCCGGACAGAACAGTTTTGAGGGCCGCATTTGGCCCCTGGGCCTGAGGTTCTGTTTTTAGAGATATATTGAGCACCTGATTTTAATTTCATTTTGCACCTTAAAATTATTCAGCGGGGATGAGGTGGGGAGTCATTTTTCATATAACTTTTAAGTGGCTAATTCGTCTCTTTTAGAAGCAAATTTAATTGCTTTTTTGTCAGGTTTTATTCCTATCCCAGGTAATATTTTTATAAATGGCTGTGTTGCTCGGAAATCAAAAGGTAAATGCTCGAATTACTTTAATGATTTAAATACTTAATTGCAACATGAGATAGGGGAGAGGAACTCAGCAAATAATTACTTAGAAGAGATCTGACAAATTATACGATTCAAACAGCTACCCTAAGTTAGCACCCTGCCAGTCCCTGGAGCAAGACCAAGAGCTATTACACAACCCCATCCCTTGAACTCTCTAAGGAAGGAAACTCCACAGAGCATATTCCTTTGACCAACTGCTCATGTGCTTAGAGAGCATTGCTTCATAAATCTGCTCAATCCATTATTCATTCATAAAAATATGCATATACCGCTGTATCACGAATAAATATCACAGCAGTTCACAACAATATATAAACAATGAAACTATAAAAAAGAGAATTAAAATTAAACACCAGTAGACCATTGTGGGCGATGTACACTTAATTGCTTGCCTGGTGGAAGAGGAAAAAAAATCCACCAGGCATTTAAAAATTAGCATAGGAGGTGCCCGCCGAATATCTAGTGGCAGGGTGTTCCACAGGACTAGGCCAATGACACTGAAGGCTTGGTTTCTCTTTGTTGTCAAATGAGCCTCATCAACTCGGGGAATGGCCAGAGACACTCTTGCAGATCTTAATTATCGAGCTGGGATATAGGGGTTCAGGCAATCCCCAATATATAATTTTAAACCAATTTGCTCCCACATTTCAGGGGTGATCTGTGGCGGGGGAGGAGGAGATTGGTATAATATAAGGTGGTGGCCAATGGCAGGGGTTGCCAACTTTGGGGGGTGGGTCAGTGGCAATATTTTTAATGTTTAGGAAATGTTTAGGGGCGCAGTTTCACACAACATTTGGCAATTTCCTCCTCCCTTTGCAGTTCCCAGCTTTACTTCTCACACAGTGAGAAGTGGCCCTAGATGTTAGATGGGAATGGGGAAATTGGCAATAGCCATATTTCCAGGTACCAGCAACTAGAATTTCTCTCAGCTGACCTTCCCACTAGTGGGAGCAGAGCATGGATCCAACCGAGTATAACAGTGAGTTAATTAAAACAATAACAAGCAATAGATAATATAACAATATTCTACCCATCCACCTGATGTCGATCTCTTATTACCCAGTAGAAATGACTGAACAGGATAACTCTGCAGCATAATGAACAGAGAATTTAGACAAGTCTCCGCAGCCCTATTCTGATTCTCATCCTCCGTGATTTAATGCCCGGGATCTACTTGGTGCTAATTTCCTGAAGTTGTCTTTATAGAAATAGCAAAAATTAAAGGCACAGGGAAACCTACCGCAAGCAATCCCCAAAGGGCAGGAATTGATTGCCAAGTTGAGTTGCTCTTTAACTAAAAGTCAAGCAAATTAAGAACCAGCTTCCCTAAGGATGACTGAGAGGTCGCACAGGAGATGCGTCGAGAAGAGAACTTTTCTAAAATTCTGCTTCCCCTACATTTGTGCAGCAAAGTTGTCTGGAGTTTTCTAACCTGTAGCCTTGCCTGTCCTGTGTTGGTTAGGCAGTGGGGAAGCATTTTCAATGTGAGGGCTGCATAGTTTTCTGGGGTACCTTCCAGTGGGGGGTAGGACCAGGAGTCAACGTGGGCAGAGCAATTAATCCTAATTTTAGGCTATACACCTGCATCCTTCTCCATCCTCTATCCAGGCAAGGAGGAAGTATTGTCAGAGCTCATGGGCACGTTGTAGCCAGACCAGAAAAACATTTGAGGAGGTTTCAAAGCAATGCTAGTGGCCTTGGGAGAGAGGATGTGGGACCTAGTGAGCGCCCAATCTTTGATGTGAAGTAAGAATGGAAGTGTGGAAGTATGGGACTTGGGTGGCGCTGTGGTCTAAACCACAGAGCCTAGGGCTTGCCAGCCAGAAGGTCGGAGGTTCGAATCCCCACGATGGGGTGAGCTCCCGTTGCTCTGTCCCAGCTCCTGCCAACCTAGCAGTTCGAAAGCACGTCAAAGTACAAGTAGATAAATAGGTACCACTCTGGAGGGAAGGTAAATGGCATTTCCGTGTGTTGCTCTGGTTTCACCAGAAGCGACTTAGTCATGCTGGCCACATGACCCAGAAAAACTGTCTGCGGACAAACGCCGGCTCCCTCGGCCAGTAAAGTGAGATGAGCGCTACAACCCCAGAGTTGTTCACGACTGGACTTAACTGTCAGGGGTCCTTTACGTTTTAAGTATGGAAGTGCATCTGGAAGAATACAGTAGCAAGTGCATACACAGTAGGAAAAGGGCCTCATTCACCTCTGCACTGTGCACTTCTTTCCTTCCACACAGGTGTTTACAGTTGACATGTGGTAAATCTGGAGCCAGTTCATGTCACGGCTAAAAATTGGCCATTCTTTAATGCTAAAGACCTAAGTCAGCGGCCTACAATGACTCATGCAACCTTTCACCAAATTGTACCTGTATATACAGAGTGGTCAATGTTAGTGTTGGGTGTGGGTTGGTTGGATGGTAGAAAGCCGGTTGCGTTTGGTGTGTGTAAAAGCTGTCAGTCGTGGGTGGAGAACAAGACTTTTTATGAATAAAAGCAGCAATACTCTGCAAGAATACTCTTTCTCAAAGACTCTTTTGTGCCAACTAAGGTCTGAGGACTAGGTAAAGGAGTGAAAAGGAGGTCAGAACCTTTTCTTTTTCAAACACTGACAGTTCACACTTAATCTGTAATAGAATTGGATAGTGCTACTTTTCTAGAAAAAGAAGTGCAAGAAATCACCGTGAACACCTTCCTTGTTCTCTTAGAATGGTAATAGTGCCCCCACCACAGCTACAGCTACAGCTACAGCTAGTGCCCTTATTTTCCCCAGGGCTACCCTTAAGCATTCCTACTCAATCAGGGATCCTGTTGTGACTTTTTAGCCAATCAGATGATGGTTGCATGGCGATGTTGCAGATAACAATAACAATAATAATAATAATAATAATTTATTTATACCCTGTCCATCTGGCTGGGTTTCCCCAGCCACTCTAGGCAGCTTCCAACAAAGTATTAAAATACAGTGGTCTGCTAAACATTAAAAGCTTCCCTAAACAGGGCTTCCTTCAGATGTCTTCTAAAAGTCTGGTAGTTGTTCTTCTCTTTGACATCTGCTGGGAGGGTGTTCCACAGGGCAGGTGCCACTACCGAGAAGGCCCTCTGCCTGGTTCCCTGTAACGTGGCTTCTCGCAGTGAGGGAACCACCAGAAGGCCCTCAGCACTGGACCTCAGTGTCCGAGCAGAACGATGGGGGTGGAGACACTCCTTCAGGTCTACTGGGCCGAGGCCGTTTATGACTTTAAATGTCAGCACCAACACTTTGAATTGTGCTCAGAAATGAGGGCAACTGTGTGATTGAGAAATGCAAGGAAATAACCAAATAGTTTTGCAAACAGTGCGGTAAGGGCGAGAGACAAAGGAAGCTGCCTTATGCTGAGTCAGGCCATTAATCTGGCTCGAGTAGTATTGTCTACATTAACAGGCAAGGGCACTCTGGGATTTTGGGCAGAAATCGCTCCCAGCCATTACTTGGAGATACCCAGGATTGAACCTGGGACATTCTGCATGCAAGGCAGATGCTTTGGCCCTGAGCCACGACCTCCCCCTGCCCCATGGAGGGCAGACTGAAAGCAGAGTCATGTTTTTGACCTGGACAATAAAATTCATCACACACAAACACAGATACACCAGAAAAGTGGTGGTTGTTTTTACTCCAATCCAATTCAACCTGTATGCATCTGCACGGAACACTTTGCAAAGATGTGCAAAACATTTACTCTTGATCCAAAGAACTGTTTAGTCCATTAAAGCGCCTTTCCCCTTAATATGATTCCTCAGGATTTAGTGCATTGTGTCAGCATTCTTGACGGTGACCTCCTCAGTCAATGGATAATAGGGCAGAGTCTTTGTAATGGATTGTGAATCACTGAGACAATGTAACCTCCTTTTATTTACATCTGGCCCACACACCTTTCATCTCTTTGTCCACGTGATTTTGTTCTTTTTACTCTTCTTCTTTTTCTTCCAAAAGCAAAAGAAGAAGAAGCCAGAGGATAAAAAACTTTACAAAAGAATAGGAAAAATTTATAAGTTATTTAGGAGGCCACTGTAAGCAGATGGAAACAAGAGTAGGATTTTGACTCACTTGTAGTGTAAAAATTATTATTGATAATATGGTTTGATATAAAAATTGGAGTATGGATGAATATGCAGTTGTAGATGTTTAAAATGAGATCCCATGGAGGGGATGAGGGGAAGTCTCGAGATTTGGAGAATCTCTTTACATACATTTGTTTTTACAGTTTGTGTTTATTTGCATTTTGTATTTGTAAATCCAATAAAAATTATTTCATAAAAGAAGAAGAAGAAGCCAAGAACATTTTGTAATTAGTAAGAAAAGTAAAGGACCCCTGGATGGTTAAGTCCAGTCAAAGGCGACCGTGGGGTTGTGGTGCTCATCTCACTTTCAGGCCGAGGGAGCTTGTGTTTGTCCACAGACAGCTTTCCAGGTCATGTGTCCAGCAGGACGAAACCACTTCTGGTGCAACGGGACACTGTGACGGAAACCAGAGCACACGGAAATGTCGTTTACCTTCCCGCCGAAGTGGTACCTATTTATCTACTTGCACTGGTGTGTTTTTGAACTGCTAGGTTGGCAGGAGCTGGGACAGAGCAACAGAAGCTCACCCCGTTGCCAGGATTTGAACCGCCAACCTTCTGATTGGCAAGCCCAAGAGACTCAGTGGTTTAAACCACAGCGCCACCCGCATCCCATGCAATTTTGTAATTAATGCTGCACCCTCAGCAGTTACATTCATTGAAATGATCTCTGTGTTGTATTCAAGTACACAAAAGTTTTACTAGGTGATATACACACAGTTTAGGAAAAGCTTTTGACTATGACTGGGTGCTGGGAAGTATACTATTGCAGAGGCCATTAAACTAGCTCCTAAATAGCCCCATTTAATTGTCTTTTAAAGTGCAATGAAACTAGAACAGAAACAAATAAAAGGGTCTGGAATCTATAAGTCTCATCAACGTCTTTGGGGTTTGCTCTGATTCACTTGGCCTTAAGTATCCACTATGCAAAATGTGGGTGTTTTGCATCCAGCCCTCTGCCCTCCCTGAGAAGGCCAATTATTAAAACGTGGGGAGAAATTTGATCCGGTTCACATTTAAAGGCAAACTTTCCTAATTTGCTCTTTCTGAAACAAAACACAAACTGAAACACAGCCATTCTTTCAAGGCAGTACATCTCCAAATTTTGCAGAGCAGTATAAAACTGCACATACCCAGGTAAAATGTGTACATGCATGCATATATGTTACTGAAAAGAGAATGCAAAACTGCTTTGCAAAAATAAATACACAAATAAGTGTATATTCAAAGGAATATTGGGGAAATTTCAGGCGGACTTCAAAAAGAAATCACAAACTGATGTGGAAATATTAGGAACTGAGCTTATGACTGGAATGTAGTGTGTGATTTGCAGAAGGAAAAAACAGGGAGCTATAAAGGTTGGCAGGGACCTTGAACAGGAGCTCAAGTCATATGCCATATTTTTCAACCCATGCTATTATTTAAATGACGTGCTGAAATAACCAGGCTTCCCAAAGCAGCCTAATTGCACTCGTCACCTGCAGAGATCACTGGGACTAATGGAGTTATGAATGCCTAAAACAAGTTGCGTTCTCTTGGTGTTTGTAGGAAATCAATTCTTGGCAAAGGTTTCCTTCCCACAATCATATTCCAGCCATTAAACACTCACTCACGCAGCTTCAAACGGCATCTCTAGCACTAATTTTTCAAAAAGTGCTTTCCCTACGGTGAGGCAGGGTGGGACGACCCCCTCAAGGGACAGATGTTTGGAGATCATTAAAGGCCACGGAATTGTTCTTCACTGGAGAAATTTGAAAGGTGTTTCTAGACTGGAGGCATCCCTTGAAGAACCCCAAAAGAAAAGGATACAGATTCCAAGTGAAAATAATAATAATAATAATAATAATAATAATAATAATAATAATTTATTTATACTCTGCCCATCTGGCTGGGTTTCCCCAGCCACTCTGGGCGGCTTCCAACAGAATATTAAAATACAATAGTCTATTAAACATTAAAAGCTTCCCTAAACAGGGCTGCCTTCAGATGTCTTCTAGAAGTCTGGTAGTTGTTTGTTTCCTTGACATCTGGTGGGAGGGCGTTCCACAGGGCGGGTGCCACTACCGAGAAGGCCCTCTGCCTGGTACCCTGTAACTTGGCATCTCGCAGTGAGGGAACCACCAGAAAGGCCCTTGGCACTGGACCTCAGTGTCCGGGCAGAACTATGGGGGTGGAGACGCTCCTTCAGGTATACAGGACGGAGGCTGTTTAGGGTTTTAGACAGGCCTTTGTTGAAATACAAATATGCATAGGGTCACCCTCAAAAATAAAGAGAAGGGTACAAAGAGCTACATCCAAAGCAATGTTTCTTATACTCTTCCAGATAACACACATGATTTCGTTTCACCAAAGGATCTCAACAGTCTTCATAGTTGCAGCTCAACACCACCATTCTAAACCAATCAAAATCATTTAGCTCCTCATCATAAAATCATATCATTACATATACAGTGGCACCTCGGTTTAAGGACAGCCCTGTTTAAGAACAATTTGGTTTACGAACTCCGCAAAACAGGAATTAGTGTACCGGTTTGCAAACTTTACCTCGGTCTAAGAATGGAATCCAAACGGTGGAAGGGCACAGGCGGCAGGAGGCCTCATTAGGGAAAGCGCGTCTCGATTTAAGAACGGTTTCGGTTTAATAATGGACTTCCGGAACGGATTAAGTTCGTAAACCGAGGTACCACTATAATCATTTTTAAAATGTCTTTCTTTATTAAGACTTTGACTAATTTTCTCATTCATTAAATGTCTCCCATTTAATGTTTCATCTGTCTACAAAGCAATTCAAGATTAATCACAATTGCCATGCCTAGCCAATTTTCTTTTGTGAAAACAAATGGACACCATAGATTGTAACAGTTTATTCTTTTTGGTGTTTTGGAATGAACATTTGCGGCATGCCGTGCCTGAAAACAACTAGTTTTGTACGTTAAAAGGCAGACATAGGCCTTTTCAGTTTAGCAGGTTATAGGCTCAGAAGAAAAGGGAATAATCAAAATAAAATAGTATTGTTGTTGTTGTTGTTTAGTCGTTTAGTCGTGTCTGACTCTTCATGACCCCATGGACCAGAGCACACCAGGCACTCCTGTCTTCCACTGCCTCCCGCAGTTTGGTCAAACTCATGCTGGTAGCTTCGAGAACACTGTCCAACCATCTCGTCCTCTGTCGTCCCCTTCTCCTTGTGCCCTCCATCTTTCCCAACATCAGGTTCTTTTCCAGGGAGTCTTCTCTTCTCATGAGTTGGCCAAAGTATTGGAGTCTCAGCTTCACGACCTGTCCTTCCAGTGAGCACTCAGGGGTGATTTCCTTCAGAATGGATAGGTTTGATCTTCTTGCAGTCCATGGGACTCTCAAGAGTCTCCCCCAGCACCATAATTCAAAAGCATCAATTCTTCGGCGATCAGCCTTCTTTATGGTCCAGCTCTCACTTCCATACATCACTACTGGGAAATAGTATTATGAAATTATTATTATTTCCTCCATCCACGGCACCCCACAATTGAGCATTTTAAAGCCCCAGCTTCACTTGACAGCATCCCAAATCTGATTGCACCCTAGTGCTGATTCTGCTAAAGACTGCTGTTCTTCCAAAAGCCTCTCATTCCAGTGATGCTAGCAACCTTCAAGGTGTTCCTTTGGTCCAGAGTCTGCTTGTTCTCCCTTGCAAAGTTGGCATACGTGATGAATAGTCACCCGTTTGCAGTACAAGGAGATACAATGAGAACAACAGAAAAAGGACCCTAATACTTTTAATGGTGATTCTTAGTCTGAAATCAAAGGAATATTTGCACTGAATGGATTCTTCCCCCCTCCCCCCTACTGACAAAAAGAATAAGCGTTACCCCACTTAATCTAGTCATTTGAAACATGGCTCAGATAAATCTATTTGACTAAATGAAGAAAGTCAATCTCCCTTTGATTGCTCACCCAAGGTGCAGGAGGAGAATACATTATGTCAGATGATTGAGTAACTCAAAGCAGGTCTTTCCATGATTAATGGACGCTGCAAAAATGTATATTTAATAGGCTTTCACTGAATGGTCCAAAATGAGATCAGCCATGTTTGGCAAATTTGAGATGTTCTGCATTGGTGGCTATTTTGAATGCCAAATCTCTGGGAGGTTTTGATCGTTTGATATGGGAGAAATTGCAGTCATCTACCGCTCACTGAGTTATTGCAAAACTGGGCGGTTTGGGGGGTGGGTCCATGGAAGCTCTCTACTGCCTGTCTCAGGAATGAACTTAAATAGTTCACAAAAGCCCACTCGTATAAGGAGCGAGGCTTAGAAGTCCTGAATTCTTCTATGGCTTGGATCAAAATCAGAGCCCAGGAAGGATTTCCAGCCCCACTCCCTTCTCCATTACACTTCCCTTCCCCAGAATGCGGCAGCTTGACTGGTGACTGGGAGTGGCCACTGAGCCCACTGGTCCTGAAAGACCT